TTACACTGTTTTTGTAAAAACTAGAAATTGCCTCGTCCCAGTTTAACGAGGCCGAAATTGTATAACTACGAAAGTGTAGGGGGAAACCTACAAATATACAAAACTCATTTGGTCAAAGTGTGAAAACAAAAAGGTGGATAGTCGGACATGGAAATATATTAGGGGGGGAGTAATCTACAAATTTTGTATTAGGTACCGATTATTTTTGTATTTTCTAAAACACATGGACCGTTTCTACAAAAAGAAAAAATAATAAATAAATAATAAAAAAATAAAAGAAAAAACATAAGGAGCGTTTCTGTATGTTACATGGATAATTTTTGTAATTTTTTTCTACACATGATCCAAATCTACCAACATACAAAATGTTAAATATAAGGACTGTTTTTATTAAAAATAATAAAAATCAAAATCAAAATAAACATGAAACTTTTTTGTAATTATAAATTATAGAGACTTAATTAGCCAATATTGAAAAGTTTTGTGGTAAAAATGTAAAATGTAAAAAACTTTGTTATTCATAAGCTGTTCCTATTTAATATATAGTTCTATTTTAATATATAGCATAGCGATATTCAGTATTTTCTTTTGTTATATGGTGTTTATTATTATTAATTATTTAACTTAGAACCCGTTTTGAAAGAAAAAATAAAACATTAATATATAATATATAAATAACTACAGGAAAATGATAAATTACGTGTAAAAAAATATATAATGGCACATAATGTGTCAACTTAAAAAAAAAAAATTAGCATTGGAATATATTGCAAAAATAGTAGAATTGAAAACGTGCAAAAATGGTTTAATTAAAAATTTTGATACCTAAGCTTTGAAAACGTGTTAACATTTCGATTATCTAAGTTCCTTTTTTCTTAAAAGACTTAATATATAATATATAAGCATTCAATATATATTTTTTATAAGATTAATAGTTAAACTTATGCTTTGAAATAAATTTTGCAGTAATGACCAGCATGAAATAATAAAGAAGTACATAAATTAAGTCTCTTAAGAAGATATATTATTGTAGGGATGAGCAAAAGGATCGAACCGGCCCGAACCGGCCCGAACCGGACCCGACCCGGGAACCGGCTTCGGCCAAAATCAAGAACCGAACCGGCCCGACGGTTCTACCGGTTCCCGGTTCCTACTGGTTCTTGTCGTGTCTTCAAATGTTGGAACCGGTCCTCGAAAAATAGCATCATACGGTTCCGGATTTTGCCGGTTCTACCGGTTCCGGTTATATCGGTTCCGGTTCCTACCGGTTTCCGGTTCCAAAAGTCCACAAAAATAACGTCCCGGTCGCGGCCCGACCGGTTCCATCGGGTGTTCCGGTGCCGGTTCCGGTTCCGGTACCGGTTCCGGCCGGTTCCCCGGTCCATATGCTCATCCCTATATTATAGGGCTATTTACATGGTTAATCAATAAAATAACCAAAATGTATGGAGTTTACTCTAATATGCCATATGAATAAATATGATTTTTTGAAAGAATATATAATATTTTAAACATAGATTAATACTGGAATTATAAAGATAAAATATGGATTTAAAATGATTATAAACTATTTGAAAACATTAAAAATAAAGATAAATTTGAGATTTTGAAAATTTATAAACGATTAATATTATATTTAGAAATTAGGCTTGATATTTTGTTATTTAAGAATTTTTTTGAACCGGCAATACAAATATATAATCTACTCCTAAACTAACAACTAATTCCACTTATATCTACGACCAGACTTGAACCTTTTTAGAACATCTAAGATTTATTTATTTAATTTGGTGTGTAGTTAAAAAAACGCTCAACCGATAATAAATATTTTGAGGACCAAGATAATAGTTTAAAACGTCTATTGATAAACTTCCTATGGTTTAATTTAGGTTGCTAGTGGTTTTATTTTATTTTATTTTATTTTATTTTTTTTGTATATGCTAGGTTTTCTATACCATGTTTTTGGTAACTGATTGATCAAGTCAAATGTTTAGTTGGATGCTTTAAATAACTTCAAATATTTTTGTTATTTCATGATTTAAAGATATAAATCATTTGTATTGTTATTTTATTCAACTTCCTATATATTTTGTTTATGAATCAAAGGAAATGATCCATATGAGATTTTTCAGCAGTCAACTCGACTAATTGACTTTGGGTTGTTTTAAACTCAGCTCTATACCAAGTAATAAAACAGATTAATAAGCAACTTCAAATTAGGATTTATTCGTTACTTATTAAAGAGTTATGCTTTTGTTTGTTTTAGTTGTATTCATTCCTTACGTATTAAACTACAAAAAAGGAACAAAACATGAAATATAATCTCGAATAGTGAAAACTTAGAGGAAACAATGTATAAATGACAATATCATATTTTGTGTTTACCAATGTTTAAAATGGTTAGGCGTCATAAGCATAACGTAGTTTATATGTTGCTAATTCGTTCAATGTTGCAAATATTTTCAAGACAGCAACCAAGTAAAACAAGTCAATTGGCCTAAAAGATTGATAGATGGAATAAAGCGCTTAGGATTTTAAACGGGAATCTCGCAAATGGAAAGTAACCACTTTCTTATAAAGAAAAAGAAGTGTCAATATCATGTCTTCCTATGAGATTTATTCCTTACTTATGGAAGAGGAGACATTAATGATAAAGAAAAAGAAGATTATAAATATGCTTTTGTGTTTATTCTTTGCGTATTAAACCAAAAAAAAACAACACAATGTGAAATCGTTTTTGGAATTACGAAGACACTCAAAGAACAACATACACATTACAGTGTCATATTCTTATCTTTAATAATGTTTAAAACATTCATAAAATACATCATAATCTTTTTTTTTGTATATGCTAGGTTTTCTATACCCTGTTTTTGGTAACTGATTGATCAAGTCAAATGTTTAGTTGGATGCTTTAAAATACTTCAAATATTTTTGTTATTTCATGATTTAAGGATATAAATCATTTGTATTGTTATTTTATTCAACTTCCTATATATTTTGTTTATGAATCAAAGGAAACGATTCATATGAGATTTTTCAGCAGTCAACTCGACTAATTGACTTTGGGTTGTTTTAAACTCAGCTCTATACCAAGTAATAAAACAGATTAATAAGCAACTTAAAATTAGGATTTATTCGTTACTTATTAAAGAGTATGCTTTTGTTTGTTTTAGTTGTATTCATTCCTTACTGATTAAGCCAAAAAAAGGAACAAAACATGAAATATAATCTGGAATAGTGAAAACTTAGAGGAAACAATGTATAAATGACAATATCTTATTTTGTGTTTACCAATGTTTAAAATGGTTAGGCGTCATAAACATAACGTAGTTTATATGTTGCTAATTCGTTCAATGTTGCAAATATTTTCAAGACAGCAACCAAGTAAAATAAGTCAATTGGCCTAAAAGATTGATAGATGGAATAAAGCGCTTGAGATTTTAAACGGCAATCTCGCAAATGGAAAGTAACCACTTTATTATAAAGGAAAAGAAGTGTCAATATCATGTCTTCCTATGAGATTTATTCCTTACTTATGGAAGAGGTGACATTAATGATAAAGAAAAAGAAGATTATAAATATGCTTTTGTGTTTTTTAATTGTGTTTATTCTTTGAGTATTAAACCGAAAAAACAACACAATGTGAAATCGTTTTGAGAGTTATGAAGACACTCAAAGAACAACATACACATCACAGTGTCATATTCTTATCTTTAATAATGTTTAAAACATTCATAAAATACATCATAATCTTTTTTTTTGTATATGCTAGGTTTTCTATACCCTGTTTTTGGTAACTGATTGATCAAGTCAAATGTTTAGTTGGATGCTTTAAATAACTTCAAATATTTTTGTTATTTCATAATTTAAGGATATAAATCATTTGTATTGTTATTTTATTCAACTTCCTATATATTTTGTTTATGAATCAAAGGAAACGATTCATATGAGATTTTTTAGCAGTCAACTCGACTAATTGACTTTGGGTTGTTTTAAACTCATCTCTATACCAAGTAATAAAACAGATTAATAAGCAACTTAAAATTAGGATTTATTCGTTACTTATTAAAGAGTTATGCTTTTGTTTGTTTTAGTTGTATTCATTCCTTACGTATTAAGCTAAAAAAAGGAACAAAACATGAAATATAATCTGGAATATTGAAAACTTAGAGGAAACAATGTATAAATGACAATATCATATTTTGTGTTTACCAATGTTTAAAATGGTTAGGCGTCATAAACATAACGTAGTTTATATGTTGCTAATTCGTTCAATGTTGCAAATATTTTCAAGACAGCAACCAAGTAAAACAAGTCAATTGGCCTAAAAGATTGATAGATGGAATAAAGCGCTTAGGATTTTAAACGGCAATCTCGCAAATGGAAAGTAACCACTTTATTATAAAGAAAAAGAAGTGTCAATATCATGTCTTCGTATGAGATTTATTCCTTACTTATGGAAGAGGTGACATTATTGATAAAGAAAAAGAAGATTATAAATATGCTTTTGTGTTTTTCAATTGTGTTTATTCTTTGCGTATTAAACCGAAAAAACAACACAATGTGAAATCGTTTTTGGAATTACGAAGACACTCAAAGAACAACATACACATTACAGTGTCATATTCTTATCTTTAATAATTCGTAAAACATTCATAAAATCCATCATAAATTATGTAATCTCTTAATGTAAACATAATTACAAGAAATTCCATATTATAAGGATCATACATTATGTAATCTCTTGATGTAAACATAATTACAAGAAATTCCATATTATAAGGGACAAATAGGAAAGCTTGGTTGGTAAATTACTAAAAGGAAATTAAATTCCTACGATGAACCACTTTTAAGAAATTTCACTGATTGCTTCTTTGGAAAAAATGGTTAATAAAAACAAAAAGATAAACAAATGCACATGGGGAAATAGGAAAGCTTGGTTGGTAAATTACTAAAAGGAAATTATATTCTATTTGTTTGTTATAAATATACAGGATAAGGAGTCTAACATCTTTATCGTAAAGAGAGAAATATAATAATTATGATGGAGGCAGTACTTGAAGTACTTGAACACGAGCATCCAGTAAAGCTCGTTGATTTGCAGCTACATTATGAAGAAGAAGAAGAAGAAGATGATGATGTCGATGATGCTAAAGAGGAGGAGGGTGATGATCTGATTACAAAAGAGGGCTTTCGAGGTGTATGTGACAGGTGTGGTGAAGAAATCAATGTGTACCACAGGTACTACTACAAATGTATGGCAGATTCGTCATGTGATTTCTCACTTCACAAGTTTTGTGGTGAGCTCCCAGCATGTTTGGAGAGCACATTTCACCGACATCCTCTTACCATGTTTATGCTTCGTTATAATTGGTCATGCGGTATTTGTCAGAGTAAGCACAATTCAGGTGAAATGCGTTACATTTGTTTTGAATGTGAATTTTGGATTGATGTAAATTGTGCACTAGAAATAAGAAAAAGGATCATTCATCATCCTTGCCACCCACATTTGCTAATATGTGCTATCACAAAGCCAGTTTTATGCGACTGTAATGCTTGTGGGAAGGAACACAAAGGGATCTTCTATCAATGTAGTACCACGTGTACCAACTTCATCATCCACAGTGAATGTGCTTTTCTACCAAAAACATTGCTAATCCAACACACCACATGCGATGCTTTTCATCATACTCATCCCCTCATTATTTCATATTCCTTCCCCATAGAAGATCAAAAAGCTAAACATGATCCCAAATGTAGAGTATGCGGTCATTCTTTTTATGATAGGGAGAATCTTTGGATTTACAAATGTGATAGATGCATGTACTATGTCCATATGGATTGTGCAACATCATGTACCGGTAATTAATAATTAATCCTTTCTTTTCATTATCATTCACTAGCTACTTGTTACAAATTTCATGAATGAGTTAATATAAATTGCATTTAGCTTTATTTGAGATGACGTATTCCATTTTCAATTTATCAGGCGCTGGCAGAACCAACAAAAACTACAAAGATGTTGATTATCCTTATCTTGTCCATCTCCCATTCCCCGATGAAACATACAGCATACCGAAACACTTGTTTTTTCCAAGAAACAGGAACAAGCAATCATAAGGTAAATGATTACCTAACACACATGAGTCATAAACACCCTCTAGTTCTAGTTAATGTTGATCAGACACAAAGCAAAAGCAATAGGCAAACCTCCTCCTCAAATTCTTTGTTGTTATTAATAAAGTGTCATGACCCAATGAAAAAGATCCAACTGCTATGCAATGGATGTCTTAGACCAATCATGTCCACCATGCCATTTTATAGGTGTGTTGATCAAAGTTGCAATGGCTTTTCTCTCCATGAGTGGTGCACTCGACTCCCATTAGAAATAGAAAACCACCCGGCCCACCCACAACATACCCTCTATCTCATCTGTTCAAATGACCTTCCTTTCTTTCTTGGTGTGTTCGAGTGTGCTGTTTGTGATCTACCTTGCAACGGATTTGCGTATGGTTGTGATCGATGCAAATACTATGTTGATGTTACATGTGGGCTTATACCTAAAAAAATCACACACAAATCTCACCCAAATCACCTTTTTTCAATAGCTCAAGTAGAAGTTACCGATACTTCTTGTCTTATATGTCTCAAAGTTGAGGAGAGATGTGAACTTTCATTCTATTGCAACACATGCAATATTTATATACATTCCAAATGTGCTCTGTTATTAACCGAGACAATAAGACACAAGTATGACAAGAAGCATCCCATGCATCTCAGTTACTTTCCGATTGAGAACCATAAGAGCCAATACTTTTGTGAAATCTGTGAGACGAATTTGAATCCTCATCAATCTTTCTATCATTGTCAAGATTGTGTTCAGTCGATACATACTGCTTGTGCTCCGTTAATACTCCAGAGCGAGACTCATACCTATATCGCTAATCAGAGAAGCGTTTATAAATTTGTGAATATAAAGTTCGGATTCACTCTTAACCTTCTTCGTCTTCATAAACACCCTCTCTCATTTGCTCAAGGTATCATGTCGGATGGTGAATGTTCTTGGTGGGGGTGTCGTTTGGGATTACGATACAATATGATCTTTAAATGCCTCGTGTGTAAATTGTAATTCATTACGGATGTTGTGAGAAAAAATTAGATATGAAGTTTTTGGTTTCTCATCCACATGTTTGAAACCAAATATGATTTGTAATCACCATATATTACTCTTTCTTGTATTACATCCCCTTTGTTTTATTTCATGTGTATGTATGATGGTATAATAAAGGAAATGAATTTAACATGTCCATGCCATTTCCTGCAATAAAGAGTGAGGGGTCAATTTTGGATCCCCTAAAGCCATGTTTTTGTAAGGTTATGGATAATCGATTGAACCAGGCCCTTGGCGCCTGTTTGAGACCATAAAGGGACTTATAAAGCTTACATACATTAGTGGGTTTTACCAGATCAACTAAACCCTGTGGTTGACTAATGTACTATTGGATTAGGTGTCTAACCACATAACTATAATTGGTATATACTTGAATTGATAGTAGCGCAATCCTTTTCGGTTGCCCTCAAACCTAACAATTGGACATGATGACTTTTAGAGAGAGAGAGAGAGAGAGAGATAGAGAGATTAATTTATTACATGATTAATAAATTGAAATAAATAGTGTATTAATATATTATGAGAATAATATATTAATTAGAAATCATATTATTTAATTAATGATTAATCATAAATTAATTGGAATTAATTTTGGGATTAATTAAAAGTCTAGGGACTGTTTGGTCATTAAAATTGTTATTTTACTTGCCTAAAAATAAATAATTATTATTTTACTTGCCTAACAAGAAATAATTAAAATTGGAATAAATCATATACCCTAATTTTCAAAAATTAGAGGGTGAGGATTATGATTAAATTATTTGATTAACTTAATTAGTTAATCCTTATTTGATTTAATTTATTTAGTTAATTTTTAATTAATAGGTAAATATTAAGTCATTTGGTTTATTTTAAATTTAAATCAATTTTCGAAATTTAAAAGGTTAATAAACCTAGTATTTTGAAAAGTTTAAAATACACCTTATATTATATGTAAAATTAAAAGCTTAATAATTACTATATGAATAAGACTAAGTCATTCAAATTGCTAGTTGTTGGAACCTTAAAGTGAACCTCTAGCAATCACAAGTATTGAATATCCGAAGTCAGCAAGTTCTGAAGTAGAGATGGAGTCCGAGGTGAAGACCATTCCGAAATGGAGCAAAGATCTGAGATTGATAGTTTGTTTATGCATTTATTATTTCTTGTATTTTATGTGATGTAACGCTTCATATGACTTAGCCTTTTGTTTCAATTAGATAATCAGTTGTCAGAAGTTGTTTATTATCCAGTCCTTGGAACGTTCGGTAGTTTGTACAATGTACCTCTTTTTCCTATATAATGAGTGATTTTAATGACAAGAAATACACTGATTGTTCCTCAAAAGATATCATATAATTCACTTAACTCTCTTTCACTTTTCTCTCAAGTCAAAAATCTTTACAATATTCTTCTTGTTCATTTAATGTCTTTACATTGATTATACTCATAGTTTCTTCATTTAATACTTGTGTACTTTGTTAAATATTTACTTCAAGTCTCGACTGGTATTACCAGACTTGACTGGAACATCAATTAAGAGCAGACATTGATCTTTAAGATTAAATCAAGGTTTGAGTTTTCAAACCTTGTCCTTGCGCATTGATACTAGTACTCACAATTGGTATCAGTGCTTGAGTGGTTGTCCTTTGAATCCATAAAAACAGATTATAGTTGATTTGAATTTACCTTGGTATTTTGATCATTTATGTGTTCAGGATAAAATTTCTTCTATAAACCACTTCTGCTCTTATATCTTAGATTCAATGGCTGCTCCTCATTCTCAACCAATATATTCAATGCAAATAGCAAATAGCGTGGGTTGCCCTTCTCGTGCCCCATTGCTAGTTGTTGAAGAGTATGATCACTAGAAAGTCAGAATGGAAAGGTTCTTACTTGGTAAAGAAAAAGGTGAAGCTATATGGAGATCCGTTAAAGAAGGTCCACATGTTCTTGTGAGACAAACTATGAGAGATGTTGTTGCAACTCTCATAGGACAAGATGAACAGCATCAAGCACCTCTTACTCCTGATAACATCGAGGAATTGCATGCAGATCAAGTTGCACTTTCTGAAATGGTGTTTGGTGTTCCACCTTCTCTCTTTGAGCGCATTAAGTTGTTCAAATCTGCTAAAGAGATTTGGGACACTCTCCAAGACCTGTTCGAGGGATCAAAAAACATGAAGGATAAGCGTTTGACTTCCGTTGTCAACGGGTTTGATATTTTCACCACAACTCCTGGTGAATCAGTTGCCTCGGCCTCTAACCGATACCGAATCGTCGTCAACAACATGACAACTCATGGGATTGTCCGAACTCCTCTAGAGTACAACCTCAAGTTTATCAATAGTCTTGTTAAAGGATGGAGAAATGTTAAATCGTTTCTTCGGAGTAATGGATCTTTGAAGAAGCTGGAGCTTTACCAACTGTTTGATGAGCTTCAAGGTCATGAATCAAATGTCGCACAAACTTTGAGAGAACTCTCAGGAGGACCTCTTGCTATTGTCAGTTCTTAGGATCCTCAAGTTTCGAATCTATTTGCTTCAAATCCTTTCAAATCTGTTATCCCATCTATCCAACCTGTTCAACCCTCTCCACCAACTTTACCTGCTCTTGCAAGTTTAATCTATCAGTTTGATGGAGACCTCAACCTTGAAGCAATGGACTCCGAACTACGTTTTCAACAAGATTTTTCTTTACTCTCCATGAAATATAAGCGTCCTTTCAATCCCACTCACAACACATACCACAACCTTTTCCAAGCTCCTCATCAAAGTAATACCCAACCTTATCCTAGACCTTCTGAAAATCCACCTGCATACAAGCCAAACATTCCGACACAAAATCACTCCTCGGAATCCCACGAGACTCTGAAGTCTGACAAACCAAAAATTGTTTGTCACAAGTGTGGTCATGCAAACCAATTTGCCAAGGACTGCCTGGCTGAAGCGCCACAAAAACCAAAGATCAAGGACTCTATATATTATGCACGTCGAGCCCAAGAGATGGCTTCTAGTGAGAAAGCCTTTATTATTACTGTATCGAGAGATGTGGGAGGATAATAGTCATCTAGAGATGAAGATGATGTGAGTACTGGTAGAAACATGTGTCTTATTGCTAGACAAACCATCAAATGTGATGAAGGCTATTGTTCATCTGGATCAGAGGAAGAACATGATGATGCTGAACCAAACTACTGCTACATGGCGACCAACGACCCACCCGGTAGAAGAGTCGCTCAACGGGTAAAATTTATGATTACTGATAATAATTTTGATTTATCTCTTTGTGAACCATAACTAACCCAGATCCAATAAAATATGAACATCATTTACAAAGCCTATCAGTTTGCTATAGAAGCCAGTGAGAAGATGGAGAGTGAAATAAGTCGTCTTAGATTACGCTTTGAGGATAAGAAGCTTAAAATAGAGTCTTTAGAACATGAACTTGTAATGTCAAAAGATGAATGTATCATCCTTAAAGACAAATGTGAAATCACTTATTCTGAAAGAAATGTTTTGATTTTTGATAACAAACGTCTCAATGCCAAAATAGATGCTTTACATAATTCAATAGACATTCTTGAAGCAAACGAAAGGATGATGCATAATTTTCGTCATCCTTGGTCTAAAGCACCTGGTCTCGGAAGCAAGTTTCCAAAACCTATTGCTCGTACCTTGAAGGAGTTACAGAATCTAACTTTTATGGGAGACATTCCGAACCACAAACATTCGGATACCCATGTCTCACCTTTGTCACCCATTCATGAGACCTTGGACAATTTTTCTTCCCTGATTCCTGAGTTTCAACCAATAGTTGTCAAGTGTCCTGATTCCATGTCTCTTACGCCTCTGATACCTGTGGACCTTAATCAGACCTTGAAATTTTCTCCTAGCATTCCCAACACTGTAGTTCACATTCCGAACCACAGTCCTCCCAACAATTTCCTTGTTGAGGAAATCATTACGGAGACAACTGGAACTGACTCTGAAAAATCAAATTTTGTTTGGGCATCCTTAGATAATGGTGTTGATGTAGAAACCATAAGTGATAATCCATATGATTCATGTGTTTTAGACTCTGAAGTGATTTCGAAAACCACCTTAGTACCAATCAAACCCGAGTTTAACAACCCAACCATTGGCCAAACTTCCAAGTCAACATCTGACTCCAGGAAGAAACCTTCATTGAATAGAAAAGATGCCATTAGATCTTAAGATATAAGCCCAAAATGTACTCAAAAAGGAAATTAGGTCTAGACATAATTCCAGATTCATTGAGAACTCTAAGAAGAAAGTATATCGGACTGTGAGCCCATCCACTAGGAACCACAACACCTTTGTGCCCGTTAAGATTCTTAAAAGGCCATCCATCCTTCCTAGTCCTGTTGTTCAAAACAAAGCTATCAGTCCCATTCCGAAAACGACTGTTGATACTTGTCCCACAAGAAATAACTCGCCTCAGACTGTTTCCTCTGTCTCATTGCTAAATATGATGGTATGATTTTTAAACCTCAATAGCTTTCAAAACCAAATGCACCATCTAAAACAGTAAAAAAAGAACGTTTGGATAAAAACACTATCACTCAAACTTTTTCAAAGAATTCAAAACCAAAATTTGAGTGGAGATCTAAGAGTGTTGAAAAAGATTTTGCAACTTCAAGTAACACTGTGATTCCTACAGCTTCAAAAATAGTTGGTCAGAGAAAAGTTGCTTTGGAACAACCTATCATTGAATATGATTTCTGGATTAACGAAAAGACCTTGGCGTTTTGCTTATTTCCCAAAGGATCTCGGAACAAGCCTTCCGAGACTCCTGTTGCTCAAAAGTCACTACCAAAGTCCAAAGTCCGTGCCCAAGTCCCAAAACCTAACTCGTAGCCTAAAAACTCCAAACTTCACTAAATTTTGCATGCAATCTGTGCTTAAGAACAAGATACAATATGGTATATTGATAGTGCTTGTTTTATGCACATGACGGGGCAGAAAGACTTTCTGTGTGATCTAAAA